AAGGATCAGGATATATATATATATATTTAGGAAAGCGTCTTGGCAAGGGATTCCGCGCAGAGGGGTCGGCTGTTTGCGCCTCTCGACAAATAAGGGGAAGTCGTTATCCCGTGGATGGGAGGAGTAATTAACTGCTTCTACCTCCTTTCTGCCGGTTCCACCCGCTTCCAGCATCCTTCCTTTCCGGTTTCTACTCGAAGGAGTAGACTTAAGGAGGACCGCTTAGGCTTTCACGGTGTCGTGTCTTCATTATTCACGCTAATCTGCTTTCGTCTTGTGCCGTTACCACACCGATCTCTCCTCTTCCTCCTCCTCCTCCTTCTTCTTCTCTTTCCCTCTCCCTCTTACTCCTCTCCTATTGACTCATGAAAATCAGGTAACAATTTCACCGAGGCAAAGGATCAAAGGCAAGCTGAGATTTTCAACAACATTCTCCTTCTTACTATGAGAAATGCTACGCAACCTTTCGCTCGCTCGCTCCTCCTCCTCCTCCACCCCCTTCTCTTGTCTTTCTCAATTCTATGGTCTTGAGATACTCAATATCGATCGCATTCAAACGTTAAGATGTTTCTATTCGAAAGGCTATTATTACATTTTCATCGCGACAATTCTCTGATAAGTGAAATCGACGAAGATAATATTATAACGAAGATATCGAAATGGTTTACTAATTATTTTTCATCATACAATTTCGTTGTTTATAGTTATGAAAAAAAAAAAAAAAAGATAAGTTACAGTTTCATATCTTTTTGTTCGTATAATATTTCGTATGAATTTTTCCTTAAACAAAAGCAATAGCTTGTATATGTTACGATCTACGATAAATCTCTTTTGAAAATAATACGAGTTTTTAACGTATATTGAAGAAAATAATATTGCGAGACTATTTAAATATTTTCTTTTTTTTATCATCTTACAATTTTGTCTATGAAAATAATGAAAAATGAATAACATTATATCTAAGTTTCATATCTTTTCTCATACTTTGTTGAATGTTTTATACACAGAAGCAACAGCTTATATATGTTACAATCTACGGTAAATTTTCTTGGATATATAACTTGAATTTTTACCGAAGACCACCTGTGTAAGGTACCCCGCGGTGATCGGCAAATTGTGATGGATTGTTTTCTCTGTTAACAGGTTCTGCCGACAGACGCGAGACGAAAGCACACCGACTGAGATAATCTCTCATCAATTTCGGTTGCTTGATTGATCATCATGATTCGCTGCACGACCGGTCGCAATAAGCGATCAAAGAACAACGTTGCACGACCTTCTCGATGTGTTAAAGAATTCGAACTTTATGATCTTAAGAGAAGGAACATTTAATTGGAGATGAACCATCAGATGAATTTTATAATTAAAGAAACATCGTATCGAATGTGAAAATGCAATATGATCTTTGAAAATGAATGCCTTTCTTATGGAAACTATGTAATAAAATATCAAAATTATATATCTCAAGCAAAGAAAAACTTCGATACAAGTTCATTAGCGAATGTATAATTATTGTATACGTAATTATTATTTTATTAATATGCTTTCAGTTTCTATCTCATAGTGGCAAATTAATAACGGTTTTATTTATATGCATATTATATCCCAAATAACTTTTTTAACAGTGTGCATATTGCTGTATCATTAGTCTTGTTACATTCATTATTCACAAGTATCGTGAATATACAAATGCAACGAAATTAGAAAATTCCTAACTATTCATGAAAAATATTTATAGAAAAATATTCAAATTATTCGTAAATGATTAATGAACGACAGAATCATTAAATAGTCAATTAAAGACAATATTTCTTTGCTGCGAACAATTTTTGTTTTGTTCGCTATTTCTTGCTATTAAAACTTAAGTATTAGTTACTTAAAAATGATAGGCTATATTGTTAATTCGGTATAGGATTAATCTCCAAAGATATGTACAATGTTCAATAAAAGGGATAAGAGTATATATGATTATTAAAAAAGAAATACAAATTTTCAAATTAATTTGAAAGTATTATGAAATTCTATTGTTCTATATATATATATCTGCTATGCAACACTTTCAGGGAATTATTTGCCACATTGAATATGCTATCAGTACTCGAATATCTTCCTTCACGATATAAATGCTCAACTTATTCATATATATATATATATATATATATATGTATGTAAATGTATATATACTGATCAATTCACCTTTTTTCTTTACTGAGGTAAGTTGAGCAATACATTTTGACCAGAAGGTAAGTATGTTATTTGTCGAGAGTTTGCTAAATTAAATGCAATGTCTTCAGCAGCTTCGATTCTTCTAAGTTCAACAAGACCGTCACCAGCACTGCCAAGAGATTCTGCTATTAAACTAGCAGCTTGAGCATCACCCTCTGCTGTAATAATAGCAGCTTTCTTCTGTTGTTCAGCTTTTTCTACTAAGAAACGAGCTTTTTCTGCATCCTGTTGTGCGACTTGTTTCAATTCTACAGCATGGGTAAATTCTTTTCCAAAAGTTAAATGCGTCTAGAAAAAATACAAGTTTATGAAAATTTAACCGATGTAGAAGTAGACTTCCACTTATTTTTATATAAAACTACTTACAATAGATATATCATCCAAGATAAGACCAAATTGAGTAGCTCTTTCTGTTAGGTCTTCGCTAACTTTTTGAGATACTAATTCACGCTGAGTAATCAATTCTCCAGCATCAAATTGTGCGACAACAGCTTTCAATACTTCAGTTGTAATAGATGGTAATACTCTCTCATCGTAGTCAACACCCAAAACATTGTATATCTTAGGTAATGAATCAGGTATTGGTCTAAAGAGAATACGAAGAGTAATGTTCACATTCTGTAGATCCTTGCTACCGGTAACAACAGGAACATTTCGTGGTCTTGAACGTATGTCAAAGATAATAGGTTTTTGTACCCAAGGAATGAGAAAATGTGTTCCTTCTCCTACTACAAGACTTTTGATACCAACAAATCTGTCAAAGATGACAGCTCGATGTCCTCCATCGACTAAAAAATAAAAAACAAGTATGATGTATATAAGAAATCATATTATTTTTATAATATTATTTATTATAAAACAGTGAACAAGCAAATGTTTACCAACCATTATATAGCGCAGTACTAACAGCAGTACCGACAAGACTTAGTCCTAATCCGAACTGACCTAGTCGATTAAAAAATTGTGATCCCATTTTGTATATGCACTACCTGCAACTAAATAATAATAATAATAAATTAGTTAATTAACCTTATCATGTAGTTAATATTCTGATGCAATATCCCTAATAGTATTAATCGTAACAAGCTTTACATTATTGAGCCTAACCTAAAAATAATTCTTATAGGATAAATTTAAAGTACCAATAAAATATCGATGAAAAAAGTATAAATGAAAATAAAAAACAATTCTTTTATATAATTAACATTCAAATTCAATATATATACTATATTACACGCATACATGTATGTAGATAAATGAGTACACGCGAGAAATTTATGAATGTTCGACCTACCGGTTAAAAAATACTAAATATTTTAAAAGGCATATTAAATGATTGTGTTTACATATATATATGTAATAAAATAGTTTAAAATATAAAATAATATTAAATAAATGTTATAAACCGGTATTAGCAGTACTTACGTAACAAATGGTGTCTTTCTAGTTCGAATTAATCACTTTTCTCCTTCGTACAGCGTTCATGCGTAGATAAGGAAAAATGGATTCCACACGAGCAGTGCACGAAATATCGACTAGAGCGCCATTCTTGAATGCGGTAACAATTGGATGCATTGGGTGATATTCGTAAATCCGTATTCATAAAAAGACTTTTAAATGTATAGTTATGACTTACAATATATATATATAATAAAATATTTATACGTATTATATATTTATAGCGTTATATTAAATAATCATTATAATTTGTATGTTTGAATGAACATAATAGGATATGAAAAAATGCAAAAAAAAATAAATCGCCCCCGGGTGGGCTCGAACCACCAACCTTTCGGTTAACAGCCGAACGCGCTAGCCGATTGCGCCACGGAGGCTGTTATGTAGGACTCTCTTATTAAAATATATTAGATGCATTATTTAAACGCTTTTGTTTAATATTATAAATCTGCATTATATTAAATTAAAGAATTTTAATAATTAGGTATGTATTAATTAAATAAAAACATTAAACATCGTATTAACGAAACTTAATTGTAAAATTTTATTTATTCTCTTCTCTTAACTTCTAACTATTCTAATAATTTTTGTTTGAACTCATACGCGAATATAAACGTAAAATCAAATTTTAGAACAAAATATATTATTACTTATTAAGAAATGTTATGCTTTAATGTTCAAAGAACAGTGGTACTATAGATTTTAGGAAGTTTCTCTTTATGCATATTATCCAGGTGTCCACAGAGTCCGGAGACAAGACCCTGAAGGGAAGTGTCTAAAGTAATAGTCAAGCTGTTAGGAGTATAGAGTATTACAATTGGTATATGAGATTGTATGATCAGATGTTCGTTATGGTTGGTAACCCTGCATAAAAGAAAGAAAAAATTAGAATTTTAATAAAAAAGATTAATATAATATTATTTATAAAATATCTAATAACTTACTTGAAAATATAATTGGTGTACGCATCATGAGGCTCTAACACACCTTTCTCAATTTGCTTAACTACGTTACCATTAATTGTGACTACTGGTTTGCCTTCAGTTGGAACTATGTCAAGTGTATGTTCTCCAATGAACACTTTAGCAAGTATATTGTTTTGAACAACTTTTACGAAAACTGCATAAGTGTTATGTGTATAATCGCCAGATAGCAAAGTCCATTGATCAGAAACCGCGTAAGGAATAACACCATTGTCGGCCGTAAGCAGAACTTGAGGGTATACAGTACAGATTTCTATAAAAAAAATAATTCATATCTATAAGCATAATTCCATGTGTAATATCATATAAATAATAATTATATTTAAAATAATCGTACTCATTTGTTCATTAAGTAATTGTTGCAAGAATACTAATGGGAAGCGAGTATTCAGCATCCACATATTCCACAATTTGTTACCAAATGGTATTTCAGTAATTTCGTAACCGTGAGTTGGTGTAACAACGGATACGTCTACGTTATCAGTTCCTACTGGATATTCAACGATTACTTTTATTTTATCAGGCTCAATATTTGTGTTATAAGAAACATGAGGTAAGAAAATAGCTCGAACTGAATCCTCGAGCATAGTTAGTTTGGATACTATAGTCTGAGGTATCTAAAACAGATAATTTCATTATTATAATGCGGAGAGAAAGAACTTAGAAAATAAGTTTTTTTATTTACCTTCTTAGAAACAATATTCGTAGTATATTTTCTCATAGTTGTATAAAGGATTGTTTCACGGATGCAGTTCAAAGTTTTAGGAATGTGTCCCTGGTCAGTGGCGTAGACTTCTTTTTGAATATCTTTAGCGCAAGCACCGTTTATGCTATCGTGAGACATCTGTTTCTTTTGTTCTTCGCTTAACTCGCTCTTCATCGTTAGCGTTACTACTGTATCGTCGCGAACACATTTATCGTCGTTAGTGTAACCCATTGTAACGGAAACTTTAGTATTAACTTCTTCTTTCGTCACGCCAAGTTTCAACGGGTCGACTGAGAATATCGGATAATTGTGCTGCCCATCTACGCAAATCTAATCGACCAAGTATTTATTCTAAAGTAAACTTGTTCAATTTGAACTCGATTTTAAATGATCAAAATAATTAATTACCTTCAATTTATCTTCCCCTTGTGTGGCCCGAGTAACTTGTACTTTAAGATTGTTATTAACGTAACCTTGACTAGTTTCAAAGTTAACATTGAGGTCCCATGAACGAACAGTCGTGTTGGTGGATGCTGCTCTAACATCGACAGTACCGCGAACGTTTAATCTCTTGCTGCTAAGAGCATGCATCTTTTCGAACAAGTGATCTACATTTTCAATATTCATACGCAAACTAACATCGACCTATAGTGGAAATATATAAATAATAGTCATTTTACGAGAATTAAAACTAAACGCGCGAAGTTATAATTTGTTTTAGCTTACGCTCGAAGTTGGATGTAAGACACTTGGTTCAATTTTAATCAGATTTCCGCAACTGCCTATTTCAGGGGAAATTAAACTGTCCCATAATTGTTGACGAACTCCCATGATCCATTGAACAGTCTTGCTATCCCTAAATAAACAACAATAATTATTTAATATTTATAGAGAACAAATATATGTAAATGAATTAATAAATATATAATTATACCAACCAAGTATTTTTGTTTTCCGATGACATTGCTTTTATCCAATCAGCCCATTTAGTAACAGGTGTAACTGTACTCTCGCAATCAAAGATTGACATTGAATATTTAAGACCAGTATCCTTAGAATCGTAAGCACTTTGATAATATTTCTTATGTTCTGTACCCTTTGTGACAACTTCGTGATGATGACAAGTAGCACAACTTTTCTTCAATTCATCATTATCATCATCGGTAATAGTAACGTAATTCTTCACATGAGTTAGTATACCAGAAATCGAATATTTATTTACTGGCAGTCTTGGTGATGTAAGGGTGAGACTAGACATGTTGGCATTGTAAGCGATATTCATGTCAATAGGTAGGGCAATATCATTAGAGGTAACTCGACGAATAGATTGCCAAATATCAACGATCGGATTATAGATCGACATAAAGTATTCACCATGTCTCCATAACCGAGCATCAAGTTTAAGACCCAGATTTACAATTGCTTTATTTTCGGTAAGATGAGTATTCAATTTTGCAGATGTCATAAGTGGGATTCTCGTGGAAAGTACAGCTTGAAGACCCATATCGGTAGGTACATGCATTTCGTAGAATGTATCGTATAAGACATTCTGTATATTAAGATCAGCATTGGAAAGGATATTCTTAAAATCTTTGATTTTGTCGAATAATTTGATTAAATTATTATTTTCCAAGTGAAGTATTTGGACTACTTGATCGTTGTTCGTTATGGTAAGATCCACATTAATATCTTGATTCAATGGCATATTTTTAGCCACTTTCTTAAAAATGTTCTTAACATTCTCATTTGTAATGTTTTCAGTTATTTTAAAATCAGTTAAAAGGTCTGTTATCATCTTCATGACTTCATTCGAACCAGTGACGCTCCAATAAATCTATACAAACAACATTCATATTTGATCATTTCAATTATTAATAACAATGATCAATAATTCACAACTATTTATAAATCTTAAATATAATACTTACTCCAATAACAGGGGTTCTTTTGCGTGCAAACATGTACGTATATTCGACAGAACCAACTTGTGGTATTCCAGTAAGTTCGTTGAGAATAAGAGATGTTTTAACAGTTTCACCATATTCGTATTTGGGATTAACATAATCTACGCAATAATTAACAGAAAGAGGGCCAGGGGCATTTCTGATTCTAGTAAATCTTAAAATTTTTCTGGCCATTTCTCGGACTGGACGAAGACAAGGATCAACGGAATTAGCTAAGCCTTTGATGGTTGCCACATGGTAGTTATAGAGATGTTCGTTTTTCTCGTAAACCATAAGCCAGTAAATATTCATAATGCGTCCCATATGTGGCAATTGATTAATTAGAACATTGTAAGCAGCAATTCTGACGGTCAATGGCAAACTGGTGTCTGCGAGAATTGGCCAAAGTAAATTGTGAGCGTAACGGAGATCATTTATGATCGTTTTCTGAATAGCCCAAATAGCTGCTACACGAATGTGATTAGGTTTGTCAGAGAGGACTAAATTGCCACGGATGATGGGTTCCAAAATTGGATGAATCTGTTTTAGCTGTACGTTCTTCAAAGCCAATATGTAAACCAGTTTCATGTGATACGTTGGTTCGTCTATAAAATTTATATTTTTTATTAAAATTCTTTCATATATTATTCATAAAATATAAATGAACAAAAGTAATTGAAAATATCTACTTACTTTTAATATGTTCGTAGAAGTTATCTTTAAGATATTTGTTTAATAATATTTGATTGATGATAGTTTTATCCTTGAAAGTTTTGTGAATCATTCTGGAGAAACATAATATGCCAGCAATCTTAACATCCGTACTCACGTCGGACTCTAATTTAAGAAGGTGTTCCATATCCAAAAGAAGTCGTTCGTTTGGTGATTCTACGTGCATTGGCAATTTATGGAGCATCATAATAGCGTTTAAATCGGAGACTTGGTGTTTAACGATAACATTTTTTGTGAAAAGACAACTGGCAACGGTACCAACAGTTGGAACAATTTGAAGGAAGATGTTCCTAAAGGGGAAAAAAAAAGAAGTTATAATGATTGTCCAAAAATACGCATTAGTAAAAATCTAAACATCAAATACATACACAGTGGCAACCTCTTTTGGTGTCTTCGGATTTTGAATAGAATTAAATACTTCTTCGAGAGATTTAAGATCCAAATGTTTCATTGTACTAAAAATTCTGTTGACCGTTTGACTATGTTTCCAATCAGGTTCTTTCAATTCCAAATGATTTTCTTCGAGATAATCCGCAGCTTCGATCAACATTTTCTTTAATTTAGGAATGAGTAATTCAAAATTAATTAAATGTCTTCCTTGAGTAAGATCTTCGCTAGTCAAATATGTGGTGTCTGGTAGCTTTTTGAAGCTAACGTCGCGTATGAGAGAACATGTTTGGAAATTAACAACAGGTAAATTTATTTGTGTTGTAGGTACGACACTTTCCACAACCAAAGTTTGACTATAAAAAGCAAACAAACAAATAAAAATTATTTCTCGTTAAAGCACGGCTCATTGAAAGAATAAGAATTTTATGATAATTACTTGTTCAAAAGATAATGAGCTTCAGATCTAGCTTGCCATGGGAAATAGTTGACCACTCCATGACCAATTAATTTAGTAATGAGAACTTCCTCTCCTTGATTTTCAATTTCGAAAACTCTTCGACTTGCAGTACTCATAGGATTCTATTGAAAAATGATATTAAAATTGAAGAAAAACGTAATTCGTTAATGAATAATAAAAATAAAAATGTATCGTAAATAATGAACCTTACCTCGGGTTCTACGTAACATTTCTCGCATTCCAAGTGATCGATAACTTTTTGAACGAAGTTGGTGCAATTATTTGGTTCGTACAATTTAGTAACGACGAAAATATTACTCGATTGGGGATTAACCTGGTCTTTCGGATGGATATCGTAGGCAACTTGACAATCACCGTGTATGGTATTCTAGTGGTAACAACCAAAGAGAACATTAATCACTATACGGGATGTTCCCGTCAGTCGTTACCCACCTCTGTTACTATGAAACTGTGTGGTTTAACCGGTTGCGTTTGAAGTTTTATCGAAGAAAAATCTAATTGAAGCGTCGAGGCTATTGCTTGTTTCACATTTTTCGACCAAATTGGTTCATTTTCTTGGAACTTCACTCCTTGGAACTGAAAAATTAAATTAAATTAGACAACTTTTCAAAAAATAAAATTCATTTCTTCACAATACCTTGCCGATCTCATCGTAGACAACCAAAAATGGTTCTTCGAGAGCTTTAGAAGCTTCCAAGATCGGATTAAAATTAGAGACGCGCTCGTAATGCGCCGATTGGCCATTAAACACCCCAAATTTAGAATAGCTAAGTTTTATGTAATAAGCATTTGTCAAAGTTGGATCACTAGTATCGTGTTTTACGTAAAGAGTGCTTTGTAGACCAAATTGTGATGCATATGGTAGCGGTTCGATAGTTCCTGCCTTAACGTCAGCATAATATTTATAGACCACGGTTTTTCCATGAGGAAAATGTGCTAGGACATCAAATAAATGCTAATTAATATAACCATGAGAAAGTAAATCTATCGTATTTTTTAATATTTTATTTATACACACTTCGAGAAATTAAAATATAATAATTATTTTTAAATTATAAAATATATATACCTGGTATCGCTGTTGTTCCAGCAATGAACACCAGCAAGGCTGTAAGAATGAAATATTTGAAAAATAATAATCCACTTTTTTTTTTATTATAATAAACAGATATAAAGTCATTTTAAAATTGCAATGAAATTTTAGCAAAATTTATGCACACAAAAAAAGAATAGAAATTTTAGGTCTACGATTTTTTACTTAAGACGAATTTTTTAAACAGTTATTTATTTTTTCCCTACGTTAGAAAAATGTTCACGTTTTGTATGATAAAAATCAATATTGTTTTCACTTGCTAAGAATCGACTTACCGGTAAGCACATTCGTAGCAAGACCCATTGCTCCAAACTGGTCAAATTTATCAACGCTTTCTCTCTTTTATAAGGCGAAAAAGCACAAGTTCTGCCGGTAAAATGCAAAAGTGCACTCGATAACCCCAAACGAAAGGGTGTTATACGTAAACTATATTGTTTATAATCAGTGTATTAAAGATAACCCTCGTTAATACGTATCGGTCTATCTGCTTTGCTTTTAGTCCGCGTAACTGACTGATAATAGTAAAAAATCATCAATTCATGTGCACAATGTCAAAGAATCACGTGCACTTCCTAAGTGAAAAATAAATTTAATATTCTATTTCCCGGTATTTTTAATACAACCGCATGAGATATTTATCTGGTTTTTCCGATTTAGTATGTGCGTAGTATAAAACGTAGATTAAGTATATACTATATATATATATATATAGGTATGTATGCAAATAAATATATATAGGAAAGATACATGAAAGAAACATTGATGAGCACATTAATTCTTTGAAACATAAATAATGTCGAGCTAAATGTATCAATTGATGCGGTAGATTATTCGATATATATGTAATAGATAGAGAGTAGGTACCTATCTTGCATATGAGTCATATATAAAAATGATATAAAATCTATAAACAACAAAAATTAAGTTCCTTGCGATAATTAGAACATACAAAAGTTATGGGATCATTTATTCGTAATGTTCACCCCTGTTGAGTTACAAAGTTGGTAAAACAAATTTATCGTAAATGCGTAAAAATAGCTATTGATTTAATTCCTTCTATCCAATGCAATAAATACAAAGAAATAATAAAAATTATTATCTTTTCGATGATTTATGTTTTCTAGAGATCAAGGTTGTGGGAAGAAAGTTCTTATATATCTAAATATGTTTTTATTGTGATAATTTATTAATATCATTTGCGATAGAAGTAAATTAAATTATAAATAATATGATTTAAATATAGAATATATCTAACGTGTGTTAGATCGAATATATATGTATCTGATCAGGTGTGATATCATGTAAAAATTTCTTCTTACATTTCGTAGTATCGTACAAAGAATATGAATAATATATTTTAAAAATTACGCCGACTTATCGAGATAAAAGAAACAACAATATTGAAAGTTCAATACTCGAAGAATCCCTGGTATAATATTCCGTTGTTATATATATATATACATACATATTTTTAATACTGATTATTATAACTGACTTACTGATAACCTTAAGATGAAATAATTATTTTCTTCTAGTAAACGCCTACCACATTTAATAAATAATTTCATTAATTAAAAATATTTATTCATTTCGTTGCTTTTTTTCCAACAATCTTCGTCAACATTTATATTTGGATACAAAAACTTATAAATCCCAATTAAATCTGAACATTGCTTGATATTACTAACAAATAAAGGAAATGACAAATACGAGATTACGTGTTTACCAAATAAAGTTGCTTATACATACGTATGTATATATGTGTATATATTATATATATGTATGCGATAATTGATAATTCATTTTGTATTTATAAATAATAATGTTAGTGTTACAGGTTTTGCGTAAATTTGATAAATAATATAAAATTAATACTAAATTCAATCTAAAAAATATACTTTTTTTTTTTAAAATCAGTATTGTTTTTAACCACTCAACGATATATGATATCTAATTTATAATAGATATTTATATTTTGGAAATATGATTAAATGTTTTTCTTTGTTGCATCATTCGATAAAAATGAGGGATAGCTTAAAATCTACATATTGTACTTTATTTTATATATATGAATGCATATATTTCAAAGATCTTTCGTTTATTAACGGATTTTAAGATTGTTTTACAAAGTAATCTTTTAATTTTTCTAAAGCTTTGCTACGATGTGATATTTCATTCTTCACTTGCTTAGATAATTCGGCATACGTTTGATCATAATTAAAAGGTTGAAAACACGGATCCCAACCGAAATCTCTTGATCCTCGTGGATCGACGATGGTACCTTGAACTCGTCCTTGAAAAAGGAGTACCGGAGTATTCTCATCTTCATTTTCGCAATAAGCGAATGTACAAACAGCCTCAGCACTTTTATCTTCCCAACCATGAAGCATTTTGTATAATCCCTCGGGTCCTAGTTTTTCTAGAAACCATTTTATATATGGCCCTGGAAGACCTTTCATTGCATTAAAGCAAAGACAAGTATCTTCAATGATGACCGGACCCTTAACAATTTTTGCTGCCGCACGACATTTATCTCGGCAAATATCATCGATTTCACCTTGATATTCCGGAAGGTCTATCTTTTTGCTCGTTATTTCACGAGGAAAATTTTTTCCCAATATTGCAATAAATTCTTCCAACTTTTTAACGTTACCCGTAACGAAAACAATTGGTTTGGACATCGTACAAATTTTACAAATTAATTGTTTCTCTTGTTTTACGTAAAGAATTATATGCGAGATATTTCGAGAATTTTCAAATTTTTCCGCGCGCGTTCTTTGTGATCACGTGACATGTAAATCGATGTAAAAACTTGCCGATAAACTTGTTAGGAGAATAGACAAAAGAATCTGTAAAATAACATTAATTATCGATTTTTTTCATGGTAGTAGATCTAATAAACGATAGTTATAATATTGAGATTGATATTTAAATTACTTACGTTAATAATTATCTACTTTATTTGACTAGTTATATGTAAAAGCTACATTTACACAGAGGCCATATTGTTTCGAATCATGGCTACCACATTTCCAATTGTAAAGAATCGAATTGTAATATTTCGATTAATCGACAGAGATATAATATATCGTTAATTTTATCTTTTTATTTTAATCTATTAATATTGAAAATATTATTAACAATCAAACGATCTATTTTTTTATTTTCTTTAAATATTTTATTTTGCACAGCTCCATAAGATCACGAAATATTTCATATTATATCGTTGATTTTTATAATAAACACATTCATAAGACATACTTCAAAATAATTTCGGGTTACTTTTTTTCTTTTTCTTGGTGAGAATTATATATTATTACAATTCGTATTATAATATTAATACTCTATATAATATTGACAGCAATAAAGAAATACATCGTGCTTAAATTAAATGAATTATTTACTATTTTGTTTTTTAACATTCATTTATATGTGAAAAATGAAATTATGTAAAACATTAATTAACATCCACTATTAGAATAATTATTAATTATCATATTTAATATCTTCCGCGAAATCTTCCTCTATTGTTGCCACCACCAATATTACCAGCGCCCATACCAACACCACCACCTCCGCCGCCGCCTCCGCCACCGCCGCCACCACCACCACCACCACCACCCCAATTTCCACCTCTTCCAAATCGACTATTGCCCATCCCATATCCATTACCATATCCACCAGAATTTCCACCAAAATTATTTCCTCTAAAACTTCCCGAAGGTCTACGATATCCACCGTTTCCTCGCATCATTTTCAGTGGAGTTGCTTCATCTCTAGTATAACCAGTTGTATGACCTCTTTGAGATCTACGTGATTGAAATCCACTGCTACTGATTTGATCTAATTCATATCTACAAGCGTTCATGCCACATAATGACTTAATCACATTTAACACCTACAAACCAGAGAAAAATTATTTCAATAAATTTTATTTTTCTATATTTAAGAAATTCTATTGTCCTTAAATTGACTAACTTTTTGTTCGATCGAGCTCAAATCTAAAATCGTTTCTGGATCTTTAGCGGCTCTTATAACGAGACTTTCCAAAGCAGGTCTTAATGCGACAATATCTGCGGCATGTTGAGGATTCATATCTAAATTAATCCAATTGTCTAATTTTACTAAACCATCCACGTATTCTACCTTCCGAGATCCAAATAGTAGCAAATGAATGGGAGATACCATAGTCATTTGCTTACAAGACACAGCTCTTGTACGAATCTAAAAATTGTTATTGTTATGTTAGAGCGTTTAATTTAATTTCATTGCATTTAATTAAGTTGAACACAATTAATTTACCTTTTCTCCAAATACGAAAAATGGAAATGGAAAATTTTGCTCGAAGTTGCTACAATTAACGGACGTCTTATGAATAAGCGCTGCTTTCGATTCGGTAGTAAGAACTTTGCGTTTTTCTTTGTGATAACAAACGTTTGGATATAATCCCATACATAATAAAGCAGTAATTGTATCGAGTTGAACATCAGCACCTGATTGATAATTTAATAGATTTGGACAAAGTGTCTCTTCAGGGAAGCCAGCACTTTGTAAAAGAGCTTGTAATTGATTCTGTATAATAAACAAAATGTTAAGTTCTTAAATTGATTTATGTATTAATATACCACATTTTTTGATTAACATACTTTTGCTTCCCACGTTACTCTCAATGTAGGTAAACTTAAATTCTTTGAATCACAAAAAGCTTGCTCAGCATATTCCCCAGAAGCTCTAACATCTTCCCATGCTTGGAAAGCATGTAACATAGCAACGTGATCACTGTATCTTGCTCCTGCAAACCATTTTTGTTGCGTGGTCAATCGTCTTACATCAGGAGCCATATTATACACCTCAGGGAATGTTGTACTATTTGCAGCCATCGTGGAAAGTGCATCTCCAACTCGGAACATGCATCCCAGAATCATCATTTTTCCTAATCTTGGTTCTATTGGTAAGCGAGCTAAAATCTTGCCGAGAGGAGTCAATTCATCATTTTTATCCAAGCATTTCATTTCTAAAATAAAAAAATATGTATTATTTTACAAAGTAGGAATAAAATGACTCAATGTTTTATTACCTCTTAACACAACTTCAGCTTCAATTACAGCATCTATGGGTGGTGGTTCGATTGCTTTTGATAAGAATTTTCCAATGCTACCTAGTCTTAATAATTTAATACTCAATGCTAACTCGTGCAAAGGTGTCCTAAACATTTCTGGAGTCATATGTTCATCCATTCGATTATATCTTGCTCTTGAGCAAAGATGAAAACAGAATCCAGGTCTCACACGACCTGCACGTCCTTTACGTTGTTCTAAATTTGTTTTACTTGCCCATACGGTAGCATAATTGGTCATATTATTATGAGAAGTAAATAATTTCATTTTCGCTTTACACGAATCTATTACATAAACTACATCGTTAATTGTTATAGAAGTTTCAGCAATATTCGTAGCCAATATTATTTTTGTCACACCGGAAGGGACAGGATCAAATACTTTTCTTTGGTCTTCTCTTGGTAATTGCGAATGCAAAGGAATAACAATATAACTCATCCCACCAAAAATAGGATGTTGTTGCAAGTGTTTCATTAATGCAAATATCAAATTCCAACCAGGTAAGAAAATTAGAACTGCACCAGGAATACCTTGTCCTTTTATATATTGAAGTAAAGCTTCTATCAATTCGAAACTTATTTCTTTTTCAGTGAGTTGTGCCATGGCATTCTTCGTTTGAATAGAATAATCAGCACTAATAACTTTATTTAAATTTTCTTCGGGTTCTCCGTCCGTAGGTAGATCATCCGAATCACGATTTTTACGTTTCTTCAAATCCATCGGTGGAACAAAATTAGTCAATTGTATGCAATCTTCTAAGAAATATTGTTGAACGGGAAACGATCTGCCAGGAATTTCAATTACTGGGCAATTATTAAAATATTCGCTAAATAATGTAGTGTCAATTGTAGCCGACATAAGAATAATTCTTAGATCGGGATACATGTGTATCATATCACGAAGAACAACCATAATGAAGTCTGAATTAACATCTCTTTCGTGAATTTCGTCAACAATTACATGAGACACTCCTCGAAGTCCACCTTCTAATTTTCTCAAAAGTACTCCAACAGTGCAGAACATAATAGCTCCATAGGGCCTAGGTAGGCATGATTCAAAGCGTACGGAATATCCAACCGATTGTCCTAAACTTTCGCATCTTTCAGCTGCGACACGATCTGCCACAGATACAGCTGAAATGCGTCTCGGTTGAGTGATAGCAATACTGCATAATGAACCTTGACCCGACGCAATATAATCGTCTAAAATGAACTGGCAAACTTGAGTTGTTTTTCCGCAGCCTGTGTTTCCACGAATGATAATGACTGGATTATCGTTAATGGCATTCATGATCTCATTTTTCTTTAGAAAGACTGGTAAAGTTGACCTATCTTTTATGCTACTTAGTAATTTAGAATCTTGTTGCAGTCTTTCTCGTTGCTCATGCATTAATTCATCTGATAATCTATCTAAAGTCATCATTGCCATGGGTCCTTCGTCAATATTACATCCAGTCCATGGATTCCAATTTTGTTGTGGAGGAGACCAACTAACTACACCTGCTGGTTGGGGTACAGATGATATGAAATCATCTAGAATTTGATTTGTTAATAATGAAACTCCTATGCTTGGTTGAGATAGCGAAGATTGTTCTGTTGGACTTTTTTTTAAATTCTATTATGACAAATAAATTAGATTAGTATAACTAAGTAATGTAGTGAAAAATAATCACGTATACTATACCTCTGTTTGCTTAATGTGGACAGGTTGTATATCCAAGCTTCTCAATAGATCATGAATTTGAGATTCCAGTTCTGGAGAGATTTTAACTGGATATGGCTTTATTTGTTCTGCATCTTTATTTTTTTTCAAAGTGCCACTAAATGCTTCTATGACACCAAGGTGATATAATTGTCGGACGATGGACAAGGCACAGCTTTTCGAAGCGGTTTGCTTGTTAGATCCTGTCTCACGGCCGGTTACATCTAAAATTGATATTATTATGTATAATGAAAACTTGTTTCATATTATTTATTTTAAATGCAACAGATTATTTATCTATGATATAGAACTTACTTCGTCCAAGTTGTTTTACATAGAACGTCATCTCTGCCATGAAACTCCTTGAAAAGATATTTTTAATATAAAATACATAATGCATATTAGCGTAAAAAGTAATCTACGTATTTTTATTGCAAGCAATAAATTAGAGTAAGGTTGTTATGCAAATTATTGAAAACTTACCATTTGAAATTACCCAAGACCACTTTGGAATACGAAGGATCACATTTTATGAAGTATTTGCACCAAAACCATTATTGAATCGTTTCAATAAAAGTTTTGGTTATACCATCACCTGCCATCTGTGCACAAGAGAGTTTTATATTTTCCTCTTGTACCAGCTTTAGAGATAACTTTAATTATGTAATCCAAAATGGTCTTGATCATGTTCAAATGGTATAAAATACATTATATCCATATTGGGCTGTAATTAAACTTGGATTCTAAGCAGGATTTTGGATATTATCAGAGCACCAGAGGTCCAATCCATACTTGAAACTAAAGGGCTCTGATGGGATGTTTCATACCTCGTATGATCTGGACCCACTGGGGTATATTTATAATCTGCATTAATTTTGTTAGTTTGCATAAACTGATGCAGTTTTGATTTTGCATTTTCTATAGTCCAATTTCCATGAATCCCAGAATTAACATCAACATCCTCTGCGTCTTCTACTTTCTTTTGATCGGCCAACCTATCTATATATGTATAGTTACTTTGACCATGTTCATTATATGGTCGATATGCTTGGCCTATGTCGTTAGGACCCATTCCATCTTGAAAGACTGATTTTATCGGAGGTAACGGCTCCAATTTGACATCTGGCCCTAATGCCGGTGGCATTATATTTGATGTATCTTTAGGGACATCATTTTGATTGACATGTCCTGCGCGAACTAAATAATTAACATAATCTCTAGCTGCATTTCCTTGAGCATCTTTTTTATTAGTCGAATTGCCTGCACCAACATAGTCGAATCCTGGTACACGTAATTCGCACAGAAACCGTTGCCTATGTTTTGGGCCTGAGAAAAAATTTCTGTTAATTACAATTAACAGATGTAAAATAAAAGTTAATAGAAAAACTATTTAGCACTTACCTGTTGGTCTTACATCAAATATTGGATCTTTTCCATTTTTTCCACACCATTGGTGAAAAAATGATTTTATATCACCCATTTCCAAATATCTTTTAGTATTCCTACTTTGATTTTTCTAATTAAAGTAGATAAAAAGTATTATTGAACTATTAAATTAACAAATTACTCTCCCTTTCTCTCTCTTTCCTTCTATTTCCTTGAAAAACTTCACATCAATACAATTACCCTGGAACGTATAACTTTAGAGGTATGCTATAGCAATTATTAAATGCGTCACTGTTAGACTACATGAAGCGCCATCATGTGATCAACGTCATTTCAAAGTAACAGGTATTTATTTTTAATCATTTCTATATTTTTAATCTTTAAACAAGTACAAAATAAAATCATTTGAGCATAAATGTCCCAAATAAATATTCGGCTATTTTTGAATATTTAAAAAACCGATCAGTCTGAAATTTTTGATCTACCAAAAAGGTATATGGTAATTCTTGTGTTGATTGGTAAGTTGGTATCCTTGATCAGGGCAAACATGTTATTCTCTATGTATTTACATGTGAATTGTGAATTTCAAATAATTAACCATTGTAAAATTTAATTATTATGTGTATTTATAAATAAATGTTTGTCATTGTATGTAATTTAAAAAAGTATTTTAGTGCAAATGTAATTTAAAATAAGTATTATTTTATTTAGTAAGATTATTTTATATGTTGTGTATGAATAATAAAGATAAACTTGTTTATTAGTACAAATTGTTAAAAAATTACAAAATGAACAGCACAAAGGAAAATAATACTACAGAAGAAGTACCACAATTTGTTAAAGATGCTGTGCTGGTCCACAGTTCTCCTTTTCCAAGCAGTACGCCTACGGTTAAGGGTATGCTATTATATAGCCTACATTTTTATAATAATGCATATGAATAATCTCATAAATATTACATTGTATTTTTATTTTTCAGGATATGATTGGAACAATGGAATCAATTATCATAATCTGTTTGAGTCATATAAAAATTCAGGTTTCCAAGCGACAAACTTTGGATTAGCTGTAAATGAAATTAACCGTATGTTAATTGCCAGAAGTATACCTCTTAAAGAAGATCAAATTGACAAATTAGAAGAGGATGAATTTATTAAAAGAAAATCATCATGTACAATATTCTTAGGATATACATCTAACATGGCTTCTTGCGGTGTTAGAGATACAATAAGATTCCTTGTTCAGCATAAAATGGTTGGTTATTGATTATTTATAATATATATGTATTTATATTTTATTGATTAAGATTAATCAATTTATTTCTTTAGGTTGATTGCATAGTTACAACAGCGGGAGGAGTAGAAGAAGATCTCATTAAATGTTTAGCGCCAACCTATATCGGTGATTTCCACTTAAATGGAAAAGATCTTAGAGACATTGGAATTAATCGAATAGGGAACCTGTTAGTTCCTAATGACAATTATTGTTTGTTTGAAGATTGGGTGACACCAATATTAGATGCTATGCTAGTCGAACAGAAAGAACAAGTATAAAATTATTCTTACGATATACTTAATTATGTTATTTTACTTTAATTCTCTAATTATAATTTATTTGACAGGGTACTCTATGGACGCCATCTAAAATAATAAGTAGATTAGGAGAAGAAATTAATAACGAGGAATCAATATATTATTGGGCAGCAAAAAATAAAATTCCAGTTTTTAGTCCGGCTTTAACGGATGGTAGTTTAGGTGACATGATGTATTTTCATTCTTATAAAAATCCAGGACTAGTAGTAGATATACTTTCAGGTAAATGTTGGTCTTTTATAAGACAGCAATAAGTTTAATAAATAAATAATATTGTTTGTATTATTTATATTTACAGATCTCAGACGATTAAATACAATGGCTACTAAAGCAGTCAAAAGTGGAATGATCATAGTTGGAGGTGGTGTCATAAAACATCACATTTGTAATGCAAATTTAATGGTAAGTAAAAAAAAAATTATTCATAGTTATAGAATATTATCTAATTATTTTCTATTCTAGAGAAATGGTGCTGACTATGCTGTTTTTCTAAACACATCTTCAGAATTTGATGGTAGCGACAGCGGAGCACGCCCGGACGAGGCGGTCTCTTGGGGTAAAATTCGAAAAGATGCGACCCCAGTAAAAGTAAGAGAATAATCAATCTTATGAAAGAAAAAAAATAACAAAAATAATGATCGATTACAGAGATTTACATTCCTCTTCTCTTTCAGATTTATGCTGAGGCATCTTTGATATTTCCACTCTTAGTTGGTGAAACTTTTGCGAGGAATTATCATTATTCAAAGAAGAAAACTGTTTCTGATGTTTAATAAATATACGATAACGTTCCCTTCCACCAATACATAACGTTAGTTTAGATATATTATTATTTATTAATACGATCTCATTATTACGCGATTAAAAAATAACTTTTAAATAAAATCATGAAATCAGATAAAAAAAAAGAAAGTAGATAATAACAATTATTGAAATTACCAAATCGAATTTCTTCTCATCATCGTTCCTTATATCCTTTAACAAAAAAATAAGTTCCGATAATTTGATCGTTTTTCAATTGTTTGGATATAACGCATTTTATTTTATTAATTTATCAATACGACACATTCCAGAGTTTTATCTTTAAAACGTATTATTAAATTTCAGAGGAAAAAAAAGAGGGTACAAGAGGATTCTCGAAGAAGAGACGCCTGCGCGTTGCGAATGTTTCCTGCATGGCAGGTGTCTGAGGCGCAGGTTTACAGGCGCTCGGTAGTAAACCAAAACGGTGGGGGTAACATCATTTGTCAGTTGTTTCCCGTAAGCCCGCGCTCGCGGACGGGCGTGAAACCAACCCCCAACCCCCTCTCATCGAAATCCCCCACAACTTTATGGTTTCTGTTCTCCACGGAATCGCACGTCGAGCGATCGACGAGCCTGAAGGATTGGCGATCCTCGGCTCATCATCATCATCATCGTCGTCGTCGTCGTCGTCGTCGTCGTCGTCGTCGTCGTCGTCGTTGTCATCGTCGTCAAAGCCGTCCTTCTTCAGGTTCCTCAGTTCTATCGGAATTGTATCGAGCGCGATCGTCGGTATGAACAATGATGGACGTGGAGGAAACCAACACCGCCTCCACTGCGAGTTCCTCACCGAGACCTTCCAGCCCTTCGGCAGATTCCACTTTTATCAGGTGAGAATGTAAACGTTTAATTTTATTTTGAAAAAAAAAATTTATATATATATGTATATGTATTTTGTGTATGTGTGTATGTTATATTACTATTCGTATTCTTTTTCCAGCTAACTCTATGGGATTGTCTATAGAATATTGTATGATTGAAATAAGTTTTGATTATATTTTGTATAAGTTTATAAGAATTGTAAGAAAAGTTTATTAATAAGAAATAGAAAAGTTATAGATAATTATTACATACGTATTCTATCGATACCTATTAAAGTTTTACTGTTGTCCGATGAGGATGCTGTATGTTTCGTAGAAGTAATGATAGCAAATTAGCATTGTTGTACTACTTTATCCCGAAGGTCGAGAAAAGACTCCTAGTATAGTTGAAAATTTGATTATGTAGCCGATACTTCATCATTATTAACGCGAGTGTGATAGACTCGCGAAACTTTGTAACTCTTATTCCTTGGGTATGCATATACGGCCTTCAAAAGTCACCCTTGCCGGGACGTTGTCGCGAATAGTCAACCTCGTTGTAGAGTCTCCGGCCGTTTGCAAAGAAAAACGTACCTGCATCGACACATTTAATAATGTAAACTTTAAGAGCATCGTGCCTTACGCCAACCTCCGACCACGTTTTCCATTCCTACAATTTAAAAATGTAAGCCACGAATACGAATTTACCGGAAGCGTCGTTGGAAACGTTTGATTTTTCCCAAGAGAAAGATCTATATTTCTTATTTTCTCGAATTTAAAAATATACCGAGTATCGTTTCAATCTGATTTTTATATTCAAATTTATATATTGTTTGTTATAATTAAAATTATTTAAAGTCTTCGTTATAAAAGTTAGACATTTTTAGAAATTAAGAGGCTTCGTATAAAAGGGTAATCAAATCTATTTAACTTTCGAAGATCTTTTTCATTAAATGAACGTGTTCACTTTATCAGTAGAAAAAGTTATCAGAAAGTTAAATATTTATCAATTTCCATTTTAGTGTTGATTTAATCAAAATGAAACCGTTTCGTTCTATAGAATGGATATATCAGAGTTATTTGTAGGTTGCACGATGTATCGATTTATTTCTTTCTCTTTATAGTGTTTTCTCTTTTTAAACATTGATTTGGAAAATATTCAACGTTCGATCCTGCAATTTTAATTATCACATTTTTAATCTAAAATTCATTAAAGTTAATAACCATAATATCGATATTATTAAACAAATGGAATATGCGATAAATATGATTAAATGAACTTTAAGTAAATAAAAAATCGCAAAGCGCTTTTCAGAACGTGTAAGAAAGTACTTGGAGTGATTGGACCTTTAGACGAGGATATTTTCGGGCGACCCAATTCGTTCCACCTATTCGAAGGTAATAATTATCGATGGTACTCGGAATAGCGCGGACGATTCACAGAGTAATCGATGTATTCTGCCTTTCCTTGATTATAAGAAACTGGTCCTATATAGCATTTATCCGATATTTTATTTTAACGAGAAAAATCATGCGATTGAATTAAATCCCCTTCCTTCCTCTTCCCTATGTTGATTATTTCATCAATTATGTTTATTCTTTTCAGTTTATTCGTTTGAAAAAAAAAGAAAAAACTTGATCAAAAAATGCGTATACAATATGAATTATTATTTATACGTTAAATTTCGCGCTTGTGATATTATTTATAGAGATCACGTCGAGATAGATAATAAATAAAGATAGAAGAGTTAAAGAAAAGGAAAAAAAAAAGAAAAGAAATGTATTTCTTTTACCTTATGAAAACGTAGTTAGCATTTAAACGTTAAATCTCAACGATGAAAAAGGCTCAAAAACTGAAAACCATTCTCGTTGGTTAAATTGGCACGAAGAGTAGGTAATTGTGAAAGCGCGGTAATTGAATTGCGCGTATAGAAGCGACCGCGAGTAAAGCACGCCCGATATAACTCGTTCGTTCATTCAAAGACGTCCAATGTTATATACCTAGCATGCATTTCAGGGGTTCATAAGCTGATCGATAACGCACTGGCTTGCGTGGATGTTCGCTTAGCACGTTAATTCATTATCCTCTTCAAAAATATACACGTCCCATACGTAGATGTTAGATCAATCCTCGTGTATGCATTGTCAAAATCGAATCTCTCGTTTTTCATCTCGAAAACATCGTGAAAAAAAAAAATAATTCTCATCTTCCCGATCGAAGAGAATCTTTTAAAGTAGGTCAAATTCTTATCTTATCTTATCTTGTCTTTTATTCTTTTTTTTTTCTTTCTTTTTTTCTAGTCCTTAGCCAAGACCGTGACCAATGAAAATCGGGAAGGACATTTGCGATTCCGAATAGTTACAATGTCCTTGTGTGTATAGTTTCACAGAATTCTGACTCGACAACTATCATACCCTTAGACTTGGACCACTTTCGAGATACGACAACGCTCTTCTATTTTACCGTTGAATACATAATGCATGTTTCTATTTCAGCGTGAAGAGGGAGCCGAGCACGGAAGAACCAAGCAGCCCTCTCGAGGCCACGAGTCCTGGTTCCATCCTGCGCAACAACAACGGTGAGTCCCTCCTCCATTAAACTAATACTCTTTCGAATCTACGAGCTTTCCGATATCACAACTATTTCCATTCCCCGGGCAACCGAATTGCTTTAGAGAAATGTTCTCTGACTTTTTTTAAGAAAAAGAAAAAAAAACTAAACTACCCCTACAAAGATGTAGAATTACGTAGAAATAAGAAGGAAGATGTGTTTGTTGATGAAAGTAATTAAGAAATTACTTACTCCCTTTTAACTTTGATCTCGCTGTAAAAAAAGAAAAACAAGAAAAAAAAAACAACAAAAAAAAGTTAAATCGGATATTCGATACTAATTAACAGTACTTTATCTCTTGTAAAAACTTTTATTATCAAATTTGAAACTTTTTTTTCTTTGTTTTTACTCGACAAAAAGATTCGAGTACCCGTTACTCGAGAGTTATATATACGGTAAGAAAAAAGAATGAACGAACGAACAAACAAACAAACAAACAAACAAAAAGAAAGGAAAGGAAAGGAAAGGAAAGGTAAAGAAAAACACTTAAAGAAATTGGCGATCCTGAAGGAATTCATTAACGTCACGTAAGAAGAAAATCTCTCTTTCTTTTCCCCGGGAGCTTAAGCGCGTATTTGAGAAAGATATAAGAAATAAAAACGAGATTGAATCTCGCTATTGGATCCTTCATATATCCCGTGAGAATAAATTCGGAATTAATTCGTTGAGTCGTGTACGAAAGAATCGAACGGTGGAAGGGAAAAGAAGAGAAGAGAAAAGAGAAGAGAATAGAAGGGATGGGAAGGGAAGAGAAGAGAAGAACGCGTACTTGGTTTGTAAAACAGGAAGAAAAAGTAATTTCGGCCAGGGTCGTATTATGAGCGTAAACGCGCATTCGCGTATTCCTGCGCGCACGAACACACATTTGCGAACGCGCTTATTTAACATAGTGATATATAACGAAGTGGTGGTAGTAATGGTAGTGTAGTGGTCGTGGCGGTGGCTGCGGCAGTGGTGGTGGTGGTGGTTGTGTGGTGGTGGTGGTGGTGGTGTTGGTGGTGGTGGTGAGCGTTTCCGGATGCGACCTAGTTTCTTTCGTTCCAGCATGGACTTTAAATCTGACATTAATCTAAATCCCATCGTGTCCGTCGTTTCTCTCTCTATCCTCACCGATAAAGCTCTCAGAGCTTACCTTTCGAAGAGAGAACTACGGAGAAATGAGAACCACTGTACGCGACCCAGGTGGGATGAGGCTCCAGCTGTAGCCGGTGTTGGATCGATTCAAAAGCGGCAGCAAAGCGCCCCACCCTATTATGTGTTTTCTTCAACCCCCTCCTACCTACTCCGTTTTCCTACCCTTCCCCTGTATTCTCTTTCTCTCTTTACCTAACTCCCTCCCACCCTTCTTCTCCCTCCATCTCTTTCTCTCTCTTTATCTTCTTTCTCCTTCTCGCATTAAACTAGCACCCTCCTGTTCAACCCCCTTCGTATAAACTATCTCTCTCTCTCTCTTTATTTTTTTTTCCTTCTTTATCCAACTTTCTTTACTCCCTCTTTCCCTTTCTTTCCTTCTTTCTTCCTTTATTTCTTCCTTTCTTTCTTTCCTTCTTTACTTTATTTTGCACCGGAACGATTTATGGCGAACCGGAAGATCCTCGAAACCGGAAGTACCGTGCGAGCCCCGCCGCTTCTTCATAATTGAATTTTATCGCTTTCCGTGTGTCTATGTGTGTTATCCTTTTTTTTTTTTTCTTCTTCTTCTTCTTCTTCTTCTCTTTCCACGCAACGTTGGCAGTTTTATGGTCGTAATACTTTTCCACGACCCTGTTCGAGGATACAGCAACGACTAGCGTCATGCTCGAGAAACGCTACGTCATGTAGACGTTACTTTTTCCTTTTCTTTCTTTTTTTTCTTTTTTTTTGTTCTTTTCTTTGTCTTTGTCTTTCTTTTTATTTCACTTTAATATCTATTTTTTCGGGGATAAAATATCATTCGTCGTTTGATAAAGAAATTTCGAAAAAATGATTTTCTTATTTTGAGAGGAAGCATAATTTTTGTTTCGCGTACGTAAACGTAAAACAAGCAGAAACCTTGATATTATTCGCGATGAAATTATTGAAACTTCACAGATATCTTGTTATTTGAGAAAAAACGAAAAAATGAGTAATTATTTTTTATTTATTTTTTTTGTTTGTTTGTTAAATAAAATCCTAACGATTTTTTTCTTCCTTTTTCGCACATCGTCTAGATAGATAGATATCAGTACACAGTTATATACGTATCTTTATTTTCTTTTATCAATGGAATAGTCTCGCGAAATCATTGAAATCGGAAAAACGTTTCGCGTTCTAACTATCGATGAATAGGAACGTCGATGTTGGCTTGTCAGTGAAGAAAAATAACGATCGAAGTTGAAACGATCAAAGCAAACGCTTTCAAAGTGTTCTAGGATTTTTCTCGTCGCGTTGGTGGAAGCTTCGAGTAAAGTAAAGTAAAAAAAAGAAAAAAGAAAAGAAAAAAAAAGAAAAGAAGTATCGAGAAAGTATTGACGCGTCGATCCGTCATAGGTAGAATGAAAAGTAACAAAAGTAACGAAAGTAACGAGCGTACTGGCAGGAAACGCAATAAAGCAATATGTCTAAAATAAAGTGAATCATAGAGTTACGAAAGATTGGTAGACTTTAGAAAAAAAAAAGAAAAGAAAAATAATAAAATCAAACTTTTATCCTTTGTGTTTCATAATTTAAAGAAGGAGAAGGGGGAAAGGAGAGACGGTAAAGTTAGGAGGAAGAAGAGGAGGAGGAGGAGGAGGAGAAGGATTGGCGGAGTCAACGATGGCTACACTTTGTACATAAATCATCCTTTTTAATACCAACTTTTTTTCAAATAAAACAAAGAAGTATTCATTTTAATTCAAAAATAAAAGCCCCTCTCTTTCTCTCTCTCTCTCTCTCTCTCTCTTTCTCTTTCGCGCTTCTATAACCGACGCTGATGTTGACCCTGTTGCAGCATCATACCGTTAATAATTCCTTTTACTTGTTTATTCCAAATAAAAGGTAATTCGCAAAATGGATCTCTCATTTAATTGTTTACTCGGTAGGTAGGTAGGTAGATAGGTAGGTACCACCGCGGATTTTTAAAAATGAAATAAGCAAAGCATTAAATAATTTCGGGGAGAATTTGAGTTGAAGATTAAACGACGCGGATAACGTTGGAGGCGTGTATCGTTGTTTTTAAAGAGAGTAAACGAACAAACGAACGAACGAACGAACGAACGTAAAAGGGATGCAGGGGTGGAATGGTGCTAGGGAAGACAATTTCGCAATGGCTAATATGCGAATGTTCGTTGGTGTTTATATAATAACGAAACAGAATAAAAGTTTAAAACCGCGACACAATCCCGTGCAAGGCGAAAACTCGTTCGCGAGTAGCAGCAGTTCGCATATTGTAACGTAAGTAGAGACCAAGTAGATTCGTATATACATATATACATGTATATATATATATATACGACATACGCGGTTGGTTATGCGCGCGCGAGCGCACGGATGTAACCGGTTTCCCCGGTTCATTACACCGAGTCGCGCATCTCCTTTCCCGACAAGTGTACACGCCGTGTGCCCACCGTGTGCCCACCGTGTGCCCACCGTGTGTGCAGTCGACAGTCTTACACGCGGCGACTTCATCCCTTTCTCGTAAAACGCTCGTTGTCGCTCCTACCGGCCATCTTCGATCCTACTTCGGTACTCGATCAGGAAACGCGTTACTCTTTATCGAAGAGATAAGTCGTTGAACCAACCAAAGAATCTTTGCCTTAGTCGATCAGATAGTAGGAAATCCTTTTACGATCGTTCGATCCTTACTTGATCGATCTCTTCTGGTAATCGCTGAAATTTCTCTATATCTTATATTTTTTTCTTTTTCTTTTCATAGAAAACGATATAATACATTCTCGAGTATTAATATCTGTCGCAGTAGCATCATCATCATCATCTCGTCGTACTTTTCACGAGTCGCCAAATCTTTTATTCTTTCTTTCTCTACCCTCGTTATATATCTATCTATCTCTCACTCTCTCTCTCTCTTTCTCTCTCACACTCTCATTCTTTTTCTCTTTCTCTTTTTCTTTCTCTCACTTCGGACTTACGAAGATGAGCGGCATAAAGTGCCGGTACAAATTCTGTTTTAGCAACGGGTCGAACGCGGCCGACCGGCCGTCCGTCCGTCCGTTCGGTTCTCCTGGTGCTTCTCTCTCTCTCTCTTTTCCTCTCTTTCTTTCTCTCCCAGTTACTCTTTCTCTCTTTCCCTCTCTCTCTCTCTTTCTATCCGGCGAGAGGTCAATGAACCGCGCGCGGCTCGTTGGCGAACCTAGTTGGTCCACTCGTTTCCCCCACCACCGAGAGGAGTCCACCGCGATCCTTCCCCCACCACTGAGTAGAGCGGGAGTCGGTCCACGTTTCCTCCCCACCGATTGGCGATCCAACCAAACCGACGTCGGCGTCGTCGACGTCGTTGTTGCTGTTGCTGTTACTGCCGTCGTTGTCGACAATGACGATGCTGACGATGCTGACGACGACGACGACGAAGACGACATGGTTTCCCCCCTCCCTATCTTCTTTCAACTCTTTCTCTTGGGATCTTACTCGTCTGCTACCTCCAGGACTCACCTCCGACCCGTTCGCTCGATTCTCCCCCCTCCCGCCTCCTGCTCTCCCTTCTCCTCCTCGACGAAGCTCGACGATGCCTTCCTCGACGACGACGACGACGACGACGGTCTACGAGTCCGCCGAGTCGCGCGATGCCGTAACACGTACGGCGAAACGTTGCTTTTACTTACCTCACAGGTAAGCCCTCTGTAAGAAGGAACGAGAGAGAAAGAGAGAGAGAGAGAGAGGTGGGGAAAGGGGAGAAAGAGAAAGAGAAAGAGAGGGAGGAAGGGAGGGAGGGAGTTAGGATACTCTGAGAAGAAGGAGAAAGAGGAGGAGGAGGTGGAGGTGGAGGAGGAGGTGGTGGAGGTGGAGAAAGACAGGGAGAGAAGTCGCTCTCTCGGTACTCGCACGGTACGAAGGAGAGGCGATTCGCCGGCCCGTACGTTACACACACCGTGTGTGCCGTGACTCGCGACAAACGCACGTGATCGCGAGAGGGCACCGAGAGGGTTCCTCTCTTCTTGCAAAGCTCATCCATCCAACCATCCATCCAACCATCCATCCATCCATCCTCTCTTCCTCCAAAGCAAACGGATCCTTTCCCGATCGACGATGGATTGATTATCTCGCGCGTGTTTCTTCTTCTTCTTCTTCTTCTTCCTCCTCTTCCTCTTATTTTTTCTTATTCTTATTCTTCTCTCTCTTTATTTCTGTCAGTTTTGTTATATTATACGCTGAAGAAGTTCTATCTTTTTTTTTTTTCTTATGCACACGCGACGCGATGAAAGATCGTACAGTGATCGAATAAGTTCCCGAAACTTCGAAGATCGACCAAGTTCGTTATTCGTTTGCGTGCCAATCACGTTACAAGGATATTATTCCGATATTTCTATAGTGACGACAAAAAAAGGGAAAGACAGAGAGATAGAGAGAAATAAATCGAAATAGATAGAGTTAAAAAAGAAGAGGAAGAAGAAGGTGAACAGAAAGATAATATATATATATATATATATAAAACAAAAAATGATAATAAAAATATAAATATAAAGGAGAAGAATATATAGAGAGTGGTTTAGTGGCAGGTGTGAATGAAGCTTTAAGCGGAACCAGTCACGCTTCGCGATTCTCGAGCGCGCTCCTCCTCATCGTCGTCCTCGTCGTCCTCGTCCTCTCTCTCTCTCTCTTTCTCTTTCTTTCTGTTCGCGAACCGTGCACCATCGTCGTGGTGGCATCGTCCTGTTATCCTGCCCGAGCCTAAGGACTTGCGCGCGCGCAAGTCCTCGCTCAACGCGAGATCGGAAGATCGCTGGTTGGCCTATACGTCCTCTGGATGCACGGAGAATTAACGGTGACGTCTACGACAGGTAAATTTCTCTTTCCGAAAAAAAACACTTCTTCTTCTTATTTTATTATTTCATCTATTGTATCTATTCCCTCCTCATCCTCCTCCTCCTCCTCCTCCTCATCCTCCTCCTCTTCCTCTACCTCCTCTTATTACTCTTTCACGAGTCTCTCACCTACCAATCGCGAATCGACGTGTTTGTTCTTAGGTCATTCTCCCGTATAAGTTAAGAGAGTTCGTTGCGCTCTCCTTCTTCTTCTTCGCGATTGACGCGTTAGAATCTCGATTCTATTTCTAAATGTAGTAAGGGGGGTGTATTCGATTATTGAACGAACGAACGATTATATATCTATCTATCTATCGATCGATCGATCGTGCTCGGCATCGTGATTCTTCCGAAAAGTGAGTTACGTCGATAAACGACGACTACGGGGGTCATTGATACCAAACAAGATTCGTGATAATTACTACGAACAATTTAAAAACTACTTCCTCCTTTTACGTTCGAAGTAATAATAATTTTTAAACGTGTGTTGTTTTTTTATTTTTTTTTTTTTTTTTTTTTGATCAAATTAACTCTACGCATAATCATTCTTCCGTAAGAGTATTCTTTCGATAAAGAAAGAAAGAGAGAGAGAGAGAGAGAGAGAAAGAAGCACGTGGTAGTGTTACGAGTATTATCGATCCTATTTATCATCGGAGAAGCTAACGTTCCTAGTCACGAACCCAGGAAACGGACGGTAGGCTTCGATTTTGATAACCGGAGGGGCAAGGTGAACGCACTGAGTTGTGACGCGGATGGAACGCGGAAACCGGGCACGGGCACGGGCACAGGCACGGGCACAGGCACACAGGCGTTGTGCGAGACAAATGACCATCGTCTGCCAAGCCGCGAAAGCGCCGCTCGGATGAACCTCTCTTAAAACCGTTCTCCTACTTTTAAACTGGCCAACTTAGCTAAATTTTCTCGGATATTATACGTTACCACATTATCTACTGAAGTTACGTTAGTTTCTTCTTCTTCTTATTCTTATTCTTGTTGTTGTTGTTCTTTTTCTTACGTACGTATCTACGTAAGAAAGATTTACTGTCCCTCCACCTCTTCTCTTGAATTTCTCTTTCTCCTCCTTCTTTTTCTTCTTCTTCTTCTTCTTCTTCCTCATACCCACTAAGTTGTTAGGTTTATACTTTCGTATTTTCATCGTCGGGCCAAACGGTGAGTAAGGCCTGGCGAATAAATCATCGGCAGATCGGCTTGGCCGTTTCTTCCGTCACGGTCCATCGTGCTTACTAGGTACGATTCCTTTGAGATATAAATCGATTTCCATCTTGGCACTTCTCCCAAAAAAATCATTTCGATTCATGACCATCGTCTCTTATCCGTTGTCGCGATCATCGATTTACTTCGACGAATATTATCAGTATTCTTATTTCCAACTTATATATATATATATATATATTATATAAATATACACGATCAAATTTTATTTAAAAAATACGTGAATAAATGTTACGAGGACAATTTTTCTACGAATAAATAAATAAATAAATAAATAATGAGTAAATTAAATTAATGAAAAATTGTGATTATTAATCACGATCGATCTTTCGAATATAATTCATCGTATCATTTTAATAATGTCTACCATTACTTTCGTTAGAGAATCACGGTGAAGAGTATCGTTAAAAAATTAAGAAGAGGGTTAAGAGAATTAAGAGAGAAGAACACAGAGAGAAAGAGAGAAAGAGAGAGAGTGGAAAAAAAGGGACTTACGAGTGGTGAGAAAAAGGGGCACCGCGAACGAAGAGACATAAAGAGAAAGAGAGAGAAAGAAAGAAATAAAGAAAGAGAGAAAAAGAGAGAGAGAGAGAATTAGTGTGTCGGTGAGGGATTCGAAGAGGTGGAAAGAAGCACAGGTGAGAGGGAGAGGACAAAGGAGGTGGATAGGGAGAACAGCAGGGTAGGGAGAGAGAAGGGGTGGCGTAAATGTTGGCGAAGGGAGGGGCTGCGAGTCGCGAGGAAGGAGGGACGAGCCAAGAGGAAGTCAACGTCCGAAGATTACGGCAATGACATTCGCTTTTTCTCATTCTCCTCTTCGTCTTTCTCTCGCGTTTCTTAGTCAGTCCCATCTCTTTCTTTAACATTCATCTCTCTTTTAGAGTTCTCCGTTCTCTCTGTCTCTTTGATTTCTTTTCTTCTTTTTTTTCTTTTTCTCTTTCTCTTTCTTTCTTTCTTTCTTTTTTTTCGGTTCTCTCCTCTCTTCTCTCGTTTACGTTCGCTATCACAAAACTCGTTCGAATTTCAGTTCGACCGATGTCTCTCGCGTTTCTTTCCATTCTAATTCGCGACCGAGATCCTCTGGTTCTTCCCCTATCTCGTCTAATCACTTTCAAGATTACTTCCTATCCAATTTTCTTCCGTTCGTTACGTTAAAAACACATACACACATATATACACAGGTTATGGAAAGAAATCTTCCGCGTTCGTTCCGAGAAGACTCGGACGGAAACGAAACAAGGATTCGTTGGAATCCGATAAACGATCGTTTGCTTTTTTAAATCATTCTCCAAGTTGTCAATAGTTAACGTACGATAGAATTAATTTTGACGTTTAATAAAAATGTCAGGTTATAATACGAATACAACGGTGTGGGGGGGGGACGAGGTTGTCGGAATTTAATGATCGGTACAAATAATGTCGGTGATATTTTATGATACTAATTAAGGGACGACAAGGAAGAATAACGAGATCACCTGGGTTGCGGTTAAGTTTTAGTTGAAAAATGATCGATTTACGTTCTCGAATCGTTCAATTTTTCTCACCCTTATTATTTTACGATCGGACCCGACCATACATTTTTTTCTATCACTCTCTGTATACAAATATGCGTATAAATGACGCGTGAGTTGTACGTTCGAAGCATTCGTTCGAGAAAGATAATAGAAAGAAACGAATGTTGAATGAAGTATAATATAATACGAGCTAAAAAATGATGCATCACTTTTCGATATATCTTATTTTTTTTTTTGTCTTTTTTCTAACGTTCTATTTTTCCCCCTCGAACAACATCCCTTTCCTTCCTTCCTTCCTTCCTCCACACCTTCCTTTTCCACATAACTTTATCGCGCGTCTTATTATTCGTTAATTTTGTTCGATTCAATTTATCGGTGGAAAATTTCTTACTTTTATCTATCGAATTCGATTTTGTCCTCGTGTTTTGTCCTTTAGTTTCTGATTTTCTTTTCGTTTTGATTTTACTTTCAGCGAGAATGGATCGCACGCAATGGCGGCACCGGCAGTCGACAGATGAAACTCGGCGAAAAAGGCCGCAATTCTTGCGTTACAAGAAAAGAGTTCTCTCGGAAGAGAGGAAAGAAGAGTGAAGGGTGGGAGAGAAGTGTGTGTGTGTGAGAGAGAGAGAGAGAGAGAGAAAGAGAGAGAATAAGAGAGTATAAGAGAGAAAGATAGGTGGTTTTTAAGAAGTGGAAGAAGAAGAAACGGAAGGAGAAGGAAACTAAACGCGAACGGGCTATTACACACAGAAGCGATCGTTTCCGATCTCGAAAATAATGGGTTGAACCCTCGCGTCGTTAAATTCGCAAGAGAAAAAAAAAAGAATAAGGAAAGATAGAGAGAGAGAGAGAGAGAGAGTGAGAGAAAACTAGAGGCTCGTTTATCGACCAAGAGGATGATGATCGCGACAAAATGGTCCCGAGCGAAGACGATCCCGAACGTCGTAAAAAACGTCCCTAGCAACCTCGTTTTATGGATCTATGCGATATAAAACAAAAAGCAGACAAAAATAACAAACAAACATATCTATAATACATATATAATATATATATATATATATGTATATATATATGTGCATTTATATACCCATAAATCTATACTTTGTTAATAATTGCATATAGAAGCGTGCAATTTGCATACACATTTTTTTATGGACATATTGAGGAGAGAAAGGAATTTTGTTTCCCCCTCTCCGACCACTCCACCCCCTTACCCGCGATAGTTTTTTCGTATTTTTAATGTGATGTGTTGGTGTCAAAGTGTGGATTTTTTTACGTTCGTTTTGTTTTTGATTTTCCATTTAAAAGAAAAACGATAAAAAGAAAACAACAACAACAACAACAACGAGAACCTCGCTGCTGCTGCTGCTACTGTTGCTGCTGCGATCTTAGAGATCATTGATAAGAGTAAAATAAAATGAGGAAATGAACAAAAAATATTGAACAGAAGGATTATTACAGGAAATATGATGGAGTCAGTCGGTAAAATATTTTTTATTGAGAAATTCGCTCTCGTGTGATTCCTCGAACGGTGAAAGCGATTTATTATTTTCTTTCATTATTTTCATTCATTTCGAAGAAACGTGCACGGTCGACTTCCTCGTTCGTAAAATTCGTGAGACTCAAACAACTTTGATATATAATATATATATATATATATAACATATATATGTATATATGTTCGTCGATTAATCGAAAATGTTCATAGAATTTTGTCGAGGATTTCGATTTTGATACGATTTTCCGTTGGGTATAGTTATTTTCGTACACTTCGCGCGTATCCAAGGTGGGCGCGGGAGGGAGGGAGGGGGGACGGGGAGGAAACATTTACGAGGACAACGAGACGAGACGACTATCATCTACGATTCAATGACCGGAGGGGTCTTAAATTTCCATCTCGGCGATATGAAGAGGAGTATTGAACGAAGAAGAGAAGAAGTGGATTGTTCGATGTTAACAGAAGTAGCATCATCGATATCGTCGTTTTTGTTTTTTTTCGAAGAGAATTACGAAGAAGAAATCGTCTTTTTTAGTAAGGTGTTATCCTTCTGACTATAAAAATAAAATAACAATAAAAAAGGAAAGAAAGAGAAAGCAAAAACAAAAGCGAAAACGTAAACGAAAACGAAAACGGAATAAGTTAATAAGAAATACAGGTAACCATTACTGGAAGAACGTGTGTTAACTTTGATTGTTGGATTAAAAAAAGAAAAAAGATAAGAAAAAAAAAGAAAAGAACAACAGGTAAATAGCATTTGAGGAACATAGTGCCGCGAGAACGCGAATGGTGAACGACGTGCCCGTAAGCGAGGTGCACCATCGCCGGGCAGAATCATCATCATCATCAGTTTCTTTCGTACAATGGACGTTTTCAAAATCGACCAGTCCCTGAGCGCGGGTCTGGGTAGCGCCCCGGCACCGGACACGCTCACTCCGGAAGTGTCCTTTGACGCCGGTAGCGAATTCAATTTAAGCTTCTTCGACGGTCCGGAGGAAAACAGCACTCAAGGATTCAGCGATCCTGGATCGGTTGGGAGTGCGAGTGCTTCCCCACCACCTGGTACACCAGGAACCATTGCCGCTAATCCGCCGAACGCCGCGCTACCGATAGTCCAGGTGCCTTCAGGCATCGTCATTAAGCAAGGTTTGTTTCATTTTTTTATTTCTATATATATATATATATATATATATATATTTACTTATCATTTTTCCGCTGTTTTTTTTTTAATATTATATTTTATCAATATACTTATATAACGCGCGCGTGTTTATAACGAAAATAATAATAATATCAAGAGAGACCGGTAACCTTTTGCGTTTGAACCTATCGTCGTCGTTCTTCTACTCGCTCGAATCCTTCTTATTTTAATCGAACAAGACCACCGCCCTTTAAAAAAACTTTATACCTTTAATATATACATATACACACATAAATACAATTTTATTTATAGTATATCTTCTGTATAGATATATATATTTGCAACTGATTCCACTAACTAAGTTCGTATCTTTCTAAGCGCGGAAAACATGCATGCAAGCTATTTTTCCGCAAAAGGTTAACGATAGAAATGTGTGCGAAAGGTCGGAAGCGTATGACGACGACGACCATAATCTCTATCTTGGATACGCGCCGGCCGTGTTCGTTCTCGCATCGTTGCCCCCCTGCCCCACCCNCCCCTCCTCGTCATCCTATCCCTCCTGCCCCCTGGTACCCGTACGATTTCTCTTTCGATCGACCTATCCACCTTCTTTCTCTTCTCTCTTCTTTCATTGTCTCCGCGAATGGACAACACGTCGAACCATCTCTCCTCGAGATTCTTTACCATTCTCAATCTTTAGTGTAGATCGAGTTACTACCACAACACAACCTTGCTGTCCTGCTTGCCTCTCTCCATTTGCAAATAGAGCGTCGACTGACATTTCGCTTGGTCTCTCTGTTTCTTTTTTTTTTTTTTTTTTTTTTATATTTTCTTTCCTTTACTCTCTATCTCTCTGCGTGCATCCGTTTCTTCCTTCTTATGCGATTTTACGTTTAACCACGTTAGCGCGGAAAATTTTCCAAATGCAATTCGAGTTTTTATTACTCGATGGACAATTAATGTTTTCTACGAAAGGTGTATTTATTTGTTTGTTTTTTTTTTACATTTGTCATGTATTTTTTGTTTTAAAACGTAACGATAAAAATATCGAAGATCCTTCGATATAAAAAAAAAAAAGGATACTTCGTTACAATCTAAAATGAAAAATTCATCAGTGATTTTTGCAAGGATCATAATATCTTGCATAAACGAAGTTTTGTTCAAATGTCAACTGGTCGTAGACGTCGTATATCGAACGATTAAATTATACAGTTGCAGAAAAGATAGTCATCGACGCGATTCGATTGATATTGCCTAAAATCATCGAGTTTGAATTTTAAGTTTGAACGATTTTTTGGGGGGATGGGGGGGGAAGACATCAAGGTAACTCGGTAACGTAAGATTTTTCGTAACATTTTATTAAGTATTTTCGAATGTGAAAAAAATAAAACGCTTAACTGTATCTCGATGTTTTATATATATAGCTAATGCAAAACGATATGTCTCGAGGTGGATGATCGATGATTTAAATCGATTCACAAGATCGAACCGAGTCGATATCACATCGGTGAAGTAGAGTTTCGTTTCGTTCTTACAACTCGAACGAGTCGTCGAGAGTCAGCCGAGTCCGTCTCAGGTCACGATTTTATCGGCGATACCAATCGTAAAAATAAGAATCTCGTGCCTGTGGAGTAGAACTTTCCTATTCGATGTGCGACGAGTACTTACCAACCTATCCTACCGTGACTTTAAGCAGAAAAGAGAATTTTACTATCAGACGAGAAACGACGAACGAAAGGAAAAGAAAAAGAAAATGAAAAAGAAAACGAGATAGAGAGAGAGAGAGAGAGAGAGAGAGAGAGAACCTTTGAAGAAAGAAAGCTTTTGAAGAAAGCTCTCGTCAAAATTCATTCGTTTTTCTTGACATCCATTTAGATTATTGCACGCGGCAATGGTTAAAAAAAGAAAAAAAAAGAAAAAGAAACTTCTTTCTTTCCCCCCCCCCGCCCGAGCGGAAAAAGTTATTTTCAAGACGTACCTGGAATATATCAGCAGCAAACAGAAAAGTTGTTAAAAGTACGTTGACATCGTTACTCGAGTTTATATGATGAAAACTATTATACCTATGTCTCACTAGTTGCTGACCAAGCACTTTATTCGAAGCCAAGGATTGGCACTGATCCGTTCGTTGGTCATTGACAGTGACAGTGGCAGAACGAGGCCAACCATGTCGATGCCCCCCGACAATGCTGCTGTTGCTGCTGCTGCTACGCCTCGTGCGAACGAACGAACCCACTGACTGATCTTTCCTCTAATACTAATTGTTTATTCCTTCGATTCTCTTTCACCGTTGTTCCAACGTTTCAAGGTCGAACCATTAGAAAAACTATACTCTCTTACATATTACATAATTTATTAATGTCAATGGGAATTATTGATTAATTGCATAATATCTATTTTTATCGAAATAAAATCAACATAATTTACAAAATTGAAGAATGAAACATATCAATGCTTATTATGTTATTATCTTACGTTGAATTTTGAATAATAAATAACGATAGGATAGGAAGAATGCAGATGATAATAACTTATTCTTCTTCTTCTTCTTCTTCTTCATCGTTCGAACGTGAAGTTGGTGATGATAGTTTGCAGCGATTGGCGTCCTCCTCGTGTCACGTAAAACGTCTTCCTGGAACGAAGGCCACGAGAAAGTTCGTGCCGCTGGTTCAGTGCCACGGTCACGCTACGTGCGTGGCATCGACACCGACGAAAGTAAACTAAATCCAAAGGATTACGCAATCCCGTTTTAAAAGTCATCGGACGTGTCTTCGAATGCCTCTCGCCTTTGCCTTCGCCTTCGCCTTTGCCTTCGCCTTTGCCTTCGCCTTCGACTATCGTATTTTCCGATTCTTTCATTCTTATCTTTCTATACGACACATTCTCAACATCACACAGTTTCTCAATCGAAAATAATGATTACTTTATTTTCTCTTCCTTATACATCAACGTTATTCAATTAGAATAACAGAATTCCAAAGACTTGATTCGTTCAGAAAAATGTTGGAAATTTTAATCAATCATTATATTGTATGTATCAATACTTTTTATAATGATTCAATTATTTAGAAAAACACAACACGTTAAATATATATTTCTTATTAAAAATTAATTAATCTAGTCTCGAGAAAAAAAAGTATAGATTTGTAATGCAACCTTTAAAGGAAGATGAATAGATCGTACGATCTTGATAACGTGAGTTATACCGATCGATATCCTTCTCGGCAGAAAGCTAATCAACCGATGTTGATCGTAATGATGTCTGCTGCTTCGGAGAAATAATTAATTGTATCCTAACCAATAATTGCTTCGGGGTATGTATGGATCCTGTAGCTTTCCTCTCCGGAAGTTGCCTGTTGTATCGAACGATGCTTTGGACGCCTCGAAGCGTGTATCGTTCAAAGCCACCGACGACGAATGTTCGATGTAACTCGATGTACATATAGAAGAAGTAGATATACATATATATGTACACGTGTATGCATAAATACATGCATATATCGTGAATACGATTGCTTTTAAGCAAGATGTACGAGAATGTACGTAAAGAAAAGAGATGTTGCATCTATTCGAATAATGAAAAAGAATATAGGAAAGAATGTAATTCTTATATTTTCGAATCGATATATAAGGTATGAGCATAACAATTAGTAATCGCTCAAAAGTACTTACCTCGTGGCACGTTTAGTTTCGTACCTGAAACGCATAACGAATAAGAGAGAAAAGAGGAGAATGATGGAGGAGCGTAGCTCGGGTATTAACGCGAGGATATATTCCGTGCACTGGCAAAAAGTGACGTGGTATTCCATTATCCTCTTCGGCACGATGCAAAACCGGTCGAAATGATTGGATTTTTATTTCTCGTCTTTCTCCTCTTGCTATATCTCCTTTCCTTCCCTCTTACCCTCTTTTCTGCCTCTCTACTCGGCTTCTTCGTTTCTTTTCACACAAGAAGATATCTTGTACGATGAGTTTGGTGAGAAGAGAGAAAAAGAAAGAGAGAGAGAGAAAGAGTTTCACAAGAGTATATACGAAGAAGACGCACGTGCGTAAGCGTGAATGTGCGTGAACGTGTCTTAGAATGTGTGCGAGCGCGTTGCGTTACTGTGTGACTCATCCAGGTACATTGCACCCAACAGCTACCGCGTCCGGTACACAATTTCTATCCATACCGTGTATACACATGCATGTACGTATGTATATAAGTAAGTACTTTAGAGTGCAATATGTACTTATATATTATATACGTATACTTATGCTTATATGTATATGTGTATATATACGTACGCTGATCTAGCGCACGTGTTCGGTATTTTCCGATTTCACAGATGAACACTTCCGTGTTATTGAACATATTATACCGGTAACAATAAGTATCCGTAATTTTCCCCGTACGAAAATCATTTCGACCATTCTACCTATTGGAATTTATAACGTTGATTTTTTTCTTTTCTTTCTTTTCTCACGTGTTTAACTCGCTTTTAAATTATTCTTCGACGAACGCCATTTAAATACATACTTTTCAAACTCGTTGTATTTCCCAACTTATTCAGACACGTGCGTTAAGCGCGAGTAAACCGACTACTCTTCTCATTGAAATTTATGAATCCATCTCAGCTGTTTCTTACTAGTAGAAGCACTGTATTTATTTCTTCGAGCACGATGCCTATTACTATTCAAATAAAACAAATATGAAGAATCACTTTTATTTCTTTGTTTAATGTCCTAACAAATATTCATACAAACAAACCCTTCTCTCTCTCTCTCTTTCTCTCTCTCTTTAATTCTTCCCATAAAATTTGTATGTGTTACCAATTCTCTCTTGTTACTTCATCGAATAGTTACAAATGTTGGCAAAGAGACAATCCTTTTTGACAGACTATCAGTGTCAGTTGTATTACTCAGTCGATCAATGGTTTTCCATCTCTTCAAATTCTTACTTCGAGAAGAGAGAAAATCGAGTCCTCCGCGTAGAGAGAACACTTCTCGACACTTCTCTAAGGTA